AGATGGCCAGGCACCCAGGCCTCAAGAGGCTGGCTTTGGGAGCCATTACCAAATCCCGCAGCACCCTCATCTGTGGGTGAGGAAGAGGATGGGCACCCACCATGAGGCCACAGTGCAGCATCTGGCTCGTAACCCAGGAGATGGACACCTCCTGGGCCAGAGCACTGGGGGTCCCAGCCAGGGGCTGCACGGGGTGCCCCAGCCCCCACCCCTGCAGGGTGGACCAACCTCTCGGCAGCAGCCACCCCGTCTCTGATCATTCATCAGAGCCCAGGATGGGGCCCCCCAACCCCCTGGTTTCTGGTGTCTTCCTCCGTGGTCTGGGGAGGGCTTTGATCTTTAACTCAGGAAGCCCCAAGACTGTGCTGGGGAGCTGCGAGCGGAGAGGGGTGCAGGCTGCTCCTCTGAGCGGCTGCGTGGTCTCGGGTTGCGTGGGCCTGAGGCACACAGGCTGAGTGTGGGAACTGCGCCGGCCATTTGCTGTGTGTCCCCGGCCATCCAGGACCCCATGTCCCATTTGCAGCCATGAACAGAGCCCCTCCTCCGCCTGCACACCTCCCTCAGTGGCTCTTGTCTGAATTGGGGGGGTGGGGCAGGTGGCTCCTGAAAAGCTCACCCAGCTGTGGCCCCTTCCTCCAGTGGAGGGGGGTAGGTTGGGGTCTCAGAAAGCGACTCCTCCTTCCCAGGTCGTCACTGGGGTGGGCACCGAGGCGGATGGGGCGGGAGGGCATCCTTTGGACCTTGCTCTCCTGTCCTGGGCCTCCGGGCTCGGGCTTGGTTTGGTTACAGGGGTGGCAGCCCTTCCCCCATGGGCCCTCGTAGGATTCAATGCATGAAGCAGCGGGTGCAGGCCGGGGCTCGAGCCTGAGAGAGAGGCGAGTGGGGCTGGGGCGCGAGAGGAGCTTCAGGAGCTCCCAGCCAGGGGTGTCGCCTGAGCCGGCACCTGCCTACGACCTAGAGACCCCAGGAGGCTCGGAGAGGCCCTGGACACTTTCCACCAGACAGCAGGGCAGCCCAGACAGTCTGCAAAGTGACAACAGCTCTCAGTCAGGTGGCCGGCCCAGCATCCCACTGTCCTAAAGCCCCCAGGGCTCCTTTGCAGGAGCACCTGTTCTTTCT